GCAAATAGTATACACTGTTTGGTTTTAATGTAGGTAGAAGCTTCTTAAGCCAATGAGAAAATATCAGCCTATTTAGCAGAGGCAGAAAAAGCAAAGGCTACACTCAGAAGAAGAATTTTCAGAGCAAAAGATACATTCCTTGGAGACTTTTTGTTAAAAAGAAGTTTAACTTTTGCTGTGATTACCTCATTGGTCTTGCTGTTTATGGTGCTTTTAGTGAAGGAAGGCTGGCATGTGTTTGGAATCACTGTCTTGTCGTTAATTAAAGCCATCATGTTTTAATATATTCCTCAAGGGTTGCCATTTAATTGTTTCTGGTGGGAAGATAAGTCAATCTCTTTTGTCCTATGTTTCTCAGAAAAAAACCCCTAATTTCTATTTTCTGGTCTGAATCTTAGAACTCAATCTTTGTCATCACCTAGTCTCCAATTCCCTGGTTACTCTGCAGTTCCTGACACTTTGTTCACCCTTCTCAGATCTTTTGAGTCCTTGGCTGTTCTCTTCCTCTTGTTCAATTACTGTCTCTGGCGTCACTTTATCTCAGTTGTATTCACGAGTCAGCACAACTCCAGAGGTCATTCTTCCCAACTTTTGGCTTATAAATCCTGCGGATGTTCAAGTCGGTGTCTGCATTAGACACCCGGTTTCAATACCTCTTGTTCCCTGTGGCCTGCATCTTACCCTGGGAATTGCTGTGACTGTTTTGTGAAGGGATTTGAATGGCTCTGATTGAATGTGCCTGACTGGTGCCTGAACTGGTCCTTCTTTCCATTATTTTCTTTTATGTTCTGCTATGGGACCTCTCTGAAGGCATGGTGCACAAGCCAGCAAACTGTTCTAACCTCAACAGTGCCTGCTGGTTTCCTCACTGATGTTGCTTGTGGTTCTTCTGTTACCCTTGGCCATTGCTTTTCTCTTCATTCAGGTTTTGTCTTCAAGCTGTCATCCACAGTTTCATGGGTAAACTTTAGTACTTCCATTCAGTACCTAGCTCTCTGTTTGCTCTCGATCAGGATGCTGGCTGGGCATTTGTGTCAGTCCCTCCAGAGAGCCTCAACCTTGGGCTCCTATGCTGTAGTTCTGCCTTGGCCTCCACACCCAGCATTACCCCAGCTGCCCTTCTCTGTGATGCTCCTGGGTTGAGGCTGTACTTTTGTCTGTTTAGTCAGTCTCTCTCTCTCTCTCTTTCTCTCTCTCTCTCTCTCTCTCTCTCTCTCTCTCTCTCTCGTTTGTGATTCCAGCAGTGCCTGCGACCAGGGAAGCTACTACTATGTCTTTAAACTCTGTTGCTCTCTGATTTTTTTCTTGCTCTGCCCTAATTGATCATTGGGTAACTATTACTCCTGAAGACAAATGATGTACTTTGAGTCTTCTATAAGTGGAGTGACTTCTCAAAACAGCAGCCAGGGAAAGCTCCCTTTTTGGAGGTTCCCTGGACTTCAAAACAGACTTCCTTTTATTTGTGACTTCCTAGTGGCAGAAACCCATGCTGTGCGACTGGGACTTCCATTGTGGCACTGGGCATAACGCAGGTTGCTGGGCCCCTGTGGCTGCAGATGTTAGGGCAGGTATCAAAACGGTTTGTAGCACTGGAAGCTGCATGCCCAACTGCAGCAATGTTACTCTTCCTGGCCCTGTTTGGATCAGCTCACACTCTGTATGTGTCTACTCACAAGCCCTCAGTTGCTTGCTGGTTCTGTCTCCCTGGTGTTCTGCTAGCACCAGGAATGCTCCTAGCAGAGCGTGTCTGGACAGTCTTCACTCTTCCCTGCCTCCCTGCACCTGCTTGCAGGCACTGGGATCTGGCACAGCAGAGTTCTAATGTCCATTCACATGTTCATGTTTTGTTTCTGCCTCCTGCTTAGAGTGGTTCCAGATCCTTTCTCTGCCCGCCTCGGTTCCCCTGTCCATTTCTCCAGTGTTTGTGGTGTCTTTCAGGGGATTTAAAGTGTGGGCCTCTTGGGTAAGTGACGATCCTGCTCCCTGCTTTCCTCTTGGGGTCCTTCCCTTGGCTCACTGGCTCCCCAGTGGTTCACTTCCCAGTGGTGTGGCTGCACTCTCTTGGCAGTGATCGGCAACCTGTAGAATTTTACTCTGCTTCACCCTGCTTCACACATGTGGGGAAGACACTTTGTACCTGTGGCTTTTAGCCACACACTGTCTCTCTGGGGTGTTCTCAAGGGAGCCCAACTGGTCAGTTTCCTTTTGTGTCAGCTCTAAATCTACAAGTCCACTATCTGCTGTTTGGGTTGATTTTCCAGTCTGTAACTCCCCTTCACCAACCCTCATTTTGGCTGTGGGCAACAACTTAGGGTTGGTCTCTGCAACTTTCCCCCATCCACACAGTTCCACCTGCTTTCCACAGGCCACACTCAAGCTCCACTTAGCTAAAATAGTAATATTCCTTATCCACCCCTGTTCAGCACCTAATTTCTCCAGCTGCTCTCTCTCCATTCATCATTACACCTTCCTCCCTGGCCTGCCACCTTGTTTTTTCCTGTTTGTTTTGTTTTTGTTTGTTTGTTTTCAAGATTTATTTATTTTATTGAAAATCAAAATTAGAGAGAGAAGGAAAGACATAGAAAGGGGAGGGGAGGAGAGAAGAGATGCTCCATCCAACTCTCCAAGTGGCTGTCATGGCCAGAGCTGGGCGAGTCTGAAGCTGCGAACTAAGGAGCTTCCTCCAGTTCCCCAGTGGGTTTAGCGTCCCAAGGCTTAGGTCCATCCTCCGCTACTTTCCCAGACCATAAACAGGGAGCTGGATCAAAAATGGAGCAGCTGATACTCAAACTGGCACAGGTGAATGATTAGCCTGTTTTGCCACTGCACCAGCCCCTAAAGCTAATTTAAGTTTTAAAGTTGAGGAGCTGATGTGATGGCTCAGTTGTTTAATCTTATGCCTGCAAGTGCTGATATCCCATATGTTCACTGATTCATGTCCTAGCTGCTCTACTTCTGATTCAGTTCTCTGCTTATGGCCTAGGAAAGCAATAAAAAATGGCCAAAAGCCTTGGAACTCTGTGTCCACAAGGGACACCTGGAAGAAGATTATGGCTTCTGGTTTTGGACTGGCTCAGCTTCGGCCATTGTGGTCATTTGGGGAGTGAACCAGTGGGTGAAAGATGTTTCTGTCTCTCATTTTCTCTGTAAATCTTCCTTTCTGATATAAAATAATAAATCTTTCTTAAAAAGTTTGACAATTGAAATAGCGTAGTTTAAAATCAAAGGGAGGATCGGTAGCTGCCATCAGTGACCAGGCTGGGAAAATGGGAAATGGCATGCTAGCCTGTAAATGTGGATTGCACTGTGGGGAAGGAATGCACCATCATTAGGCAATTGCACACTGAACAACTGTTGTGTAAGTGCCTGTTTATGCCATTTAGACCTAATGAACTTGGTCGATGAGTTCCCTGCTGAATAAAAGAGCAATCAAAAGCTCATTTTGGATTCTGTGCCATCTAGGTCAAGAAGTTCCAGAAGTGATGGGAATGTTGACTTGGTGCCTGGAAAACGTCAACTATCTTTTCCCTGATTCTGTTTTGTTCTCAAATAAATACTTAACGCATATGATTTGTGCTTTAGGGAGTTTTATCTACTGGTGAGTGGTAGGTGATTGTATGTAAGACTTAGAAAGATATTCCCTGGCCCTTAGCAAGTTTTGTTTCCGTTCTTGCTGATTTTCTTCAATTACTCTGAATGACAATTTTACAATTAAAGGGATAAAAACAATTTTATTTGAATTCAGAAGCAAAGTATCTTTCTCAAAAGTTGATAAGGATCTTTACTAAATATGAAACAGGGTAAAGAAGTGAAGATGTGTTTCACCTCTGATCTCGATCTCACCTGCAGCACTGCTGTAATTGACATGTGTTCTTCTGCTCTGTCTCCAGGCATTTTGGTTTAAAGACTCAAGACATAAAATTTGTGTGTGTGTTTATGCGACACTGTTATATTTTACCACATGTATGCATTGTGAAATGTTGTGAGGGTAAATATATTCATCCTTATAACCATTTAATATTTATTGTGTAAACATCAAAAACCTCTATTTTGTAGTTTGTTTTTTTTTTTTTTTTGCAGAGGAAATAGGCAGTAAATTAGCATTATCTGTCTTCACTATACTGAGCAATAGAATCACAAAATTCTATTCTGTTCTACTACAGTCTGGTACCTATGAATCAACCTGTCCCCAAGCCTTTCTCCCCACTTCTCTCACAAGTCTCTGATAATCACAATTAGTTTATGTAAGGTCACCTATTTTCAATAAACTCCATGAATGAGTGAGATCACATGGTACTTGTCCCTCTGTACTTAGCTTATGTCACTTAACGTAATGACATCCAGTCCCGTCATTGTTGTTACAAATGACAACTTGCATCCTTCTTGGCTAGATAATATTCTGCTGTGTGATACTACCACATTTTAAATCCATTCCTCAGTTGGTGGATATTTAAATGTTCTCTTTTCCAAGCTTTCTTGAGTAGCACTACAGTGAACATGGTAGTGTAGCATGTCTTTAAAAAATGTGTTTTATCGCTTGTGCATATTTACACAAAAAGAGGGATTATAGATCATATGAAAATCCTGTTTTTAGTTTTTTTTTAGGAGAGTCCGGTTTTTCACAATGATTGTACTGATTTGTATTCCTACCAAAGTATGCCAGTGTTCTTTTTTTTCTGTATCCTTACCAACCCTTTTTGTTTTCCTTGTGATAATAGCCAGTTATACTGAGTACTTTTGAGTGATATTGATCATTATTTACATGTACTTGTTGATAATTTGTGTTCCTGCCTTTGAGAAATACCTATTTATATCTGTTGCCCAGTTTTTAATTGGACTTTTTTGTCTAGCTTGCTTTTTGCTGTTGAGTTGAGTGCATTATATGCTCTGCATATCAACCCCTTGTTAGATGTATCGCTTGCAAATATTTTCTGTCATTTGTCAATTGTTGCTTCACTTTGTCGACTGATTGACACTGTGGTCTTCTTTGGAACTTGCAGGACGGGGCCCAGATCACCATTTTTCTGGGAGCGCAAAGGATGGAACAGAAGAGGCCCATGTCTGCCTGCCCTGCAGGGAGGGCTGTCCCTACTGTGCTGATGACAGCCCGTGCTTCGTCCAGGAGGATAAATATTTGCGGCTGGCAATCATCTCTTTCCAAGCCCTGTGCATGCTGCTCGACTTCGTGAGCATGCTGGTGGTCTACCACTTTCGCCAAGCAAAGGTAAACCCAGGTACCCTGGCCATAATCTTCCTCTTCATTGTTGAGTTGCCTTTTCTCCTTTGAAGCACATTTTGAAAAATTTAAAATTTTTCAAAACCCAGTTACTGCTCTGTTCCTCATAAGAGTTTCTATAATATGTTTGGACTTGAGCATGAAAGGCAAATGCTTTGGTCTTATAGGAAAAACAGAAATCAATCCTATGATACTTTATTTAACATTTTCTTCTTGAACTCACTCTCCCAGGGACAGGGGTGCTATTAGCATATCAATTCCCCACCAGAAGTATCGGCCATTACCTCCGGCCACTGTGGGAGGGCCTCAGGCCGATCTCTTTATCATTGAAAGGGGAGCAGGAAGAAGTAATACACATCTGCCTAAGGCCTGGAATGTCCTATGTCTGGCACCTCTGTGGCCTTTTGTCCCAAGGCCAGGCACCATGGAAACTAGGAATTTTCTTTGTTCATGGAGAAACATCTTTGAGGGAAACCTTTAAAAGGTGCATTCCCCACCATTAATACGGGTTCTTATTTTCCTGCCGCTATGGCAGAGCACTGGGGTCCTTTTCCTCCTGCCACTATGGCAGGAGGTAAGGGTCTTTTCTATCTCAAAACCCCCTCCCGTCGTTAGGACGGGAGTCTTCTTTTCTCAGCCTTTCTAATAAATCCTGCTTTAAAACTAAAAAAAAAAAAAAAAAAAAAAAATTTCTTCTGCAGAATGCTCTTCCCTGTTTTGCCTGTAGCTCAAGCTTCTCATTGCTCTGAAGGACTTCCGCTTTCATCATTTATTTGGTCTTTAGGGCAACTTCTTCTGATAACATCCAATGTGTTGTTAACTTTCTCAGGTCTAGAAAGATGGCTGCATCGGGCACATGCTGTTTGTATTTCTCTTAGTCATATCTGAGGATGATACATGACGACTATTTCTGAGCATGTGCTTTGAAGTGTGTCCATGCCTGGCCTCGTTATCTTGACTTGCATTACTATCCCATAGTACTGCGGATGCAGGAAGACCTTTCCTGGTTTTGGAGAGAATCTGTGCCTTGATTCTGTTGTGAGAATTAAGAGTGGTCTGCTTCCTCAGTCAGATGTGGAAAGAACACCCGTATGTTCAGGCCAGAGCACTTGGGAAAGCTTTCTCCAGCAGTCTCCTGTTTCATTAGATGTAATCAGTGCTGTGTTGGAATGTGGGGTTCTGCTGCTTATTTTGGGGAAACATTTATGGCATTGGAAAACACAACAAAGCCTAGAACTTCAACCATTTCTAAATTCAAATGACCGCTCCAAGTTGGCTTATTTTTGCAGCTTGGTTTAGATTACAGAGCTTGTTGAAAACAAATTAGAAATTAAAAGGGGGAAGGCATTCTCTGTGAATATTCTCTCTTATGAAGCCTCCAGTTAACATTATTTTAATGCCTGTATTGATGATCTAGAAAAACATATACCCATTATGTTAATGTTGTGATTTTCCTCTCTATTGCCAATAGTTTCATTAACAGAAGGGCTCAGGATAGATTAAAACCAAGCTATGATTCAGCAAGAAGATGCAAACAGACAAATTGCTCTGCATTTAACTGACCCTTTTCTTTCTTTTGCAGCACATAATGTGTTAACTGTGTGCATGATAAAATAGTAGACAAGTGGTGTTAGATAAGACATAGCCACTGTTACCTAAATAAAATGAAATAAAATAAAATGTTTTTGAAAAGCCTTTGAATGTCAGAAGGGATAGAACTGAAGGAATTGAAAACCAGTCTAAGATCTCTTGTGTGATATAATTCATTTATACAATGGGTAACACATAGCTTTATGAATTTTAATTGACTTTAATTGTTAATGATTGCTGTGCTGAATGGGTCAGTGATACCAAATGTTACACTAGAGATTAAGAAAATTGAGACAGTTCTTGCTAGATGAGGTCTCAGTTTATTGTAATGTTACTAACAATTACCAAAGCTGCTAGCCTTCTGAGTTCCTCAGAACTTTCCCATGAAAGAAAGAATAACAATCTTTACATGTCATTTGGTGAAATTCCTTTAAGTATAAACAAGTTGAAATAAATTAGGCATTATCCAATTCTAAGATGTTTATCTTTAGAGTCCCAGCACTTTAGTTTAGTGGCTAAAGTCCTTGCCTTGCATACGCCCGGATCCCATATGAGCACCAGTTCATATCCCAGCTACTCCATTGAAACTGCAACACTTAAACTGGACCATAGACCGGTGTAGAAGACCCAGAATCCTCGTGATCTTGGGTTAGACAATGGTTTGCTAGATGTGATATCAAAGAAATAATGGCAAAGAATGAATAAATTGAACCTCCAACAGCTTTTGTGCATTAAAGGATGCCATCAAGAATTGTAAAAAAAAAAAAAAAACAAACATAGGATGAGGGAATATATTTTCAAAACTTGTATATGAGGAAAGAATAGTGTCCAAAATATATACAGAACACTTATAACTCAACAATAAAAAGGAAAAATCTATTTTAAAAGCGGGCAAAGGATCTAAATAAACACTGCAACAAAGAAGATATGTAAATGAACCAGTACACATTTGCAAAGATGCTAAACAACAGTCATGAGAGGAAAATGTAAATATAGCTGAAACACCCACTAGCCTAACTAAAAATAAAAAGCACAGACAAGAAGAGGAATTGGGGATGTCGAGCGATTGAAAACTCTCACCCATTGCTGTTAGAAACGTGAAATGGTACTTTGGATGACACATGGGCAGGTGGTCCTTTAAAAAGTGAAAGATACCGTCATCATTGAGCAGTTCCACTCATACTAAATGCCAAGAAGAATTGAAAGCTGTCTACACACACACACACACAAAATGTGTACATCCAAGTGTTTCAACCAGCACCAATCACAGTAGGCAAAACGTGAAAGCCGCAGTGAGTGTTGTGGCTCAGTGGGACAAGCTGCTGCTTGTGATACCCACACTCCACACCCTGTGGGGGAGTTCTGGCTTGAGTCCTGATGACTGCATTTCCAATCATGTTCCTTATTGATGGCTGTAATGTTTGGGACCCTGATCCCCAGCTGGGAGACCAGAATGCCAGAATGGGATTCCTGGCTTCTGGCTTTTGTCTGGCCCTCCTCTGGATTTTGGAGTCATTTGCGTAGTGAAACAGCAAATAGAAGATATTCTCTGTATCTCTTTTAAATAAATATATGTTTTTAAAATCTGACTTTGAAAAATGTGGAATCACCTCAAATACCCACCAACTAATACATGATATTTTTGTGTGTGAAATGACATATATCATCTGCCAATAAAAAAAGGAATAAAGCATGTAGACTTAATAGTGGAGTGGTGACTGACTGCAGAGCCCTGTGCCAACCAAATACTCTCCTAAGCTGTGAAGATGCTCTCCAGCTGCCTGCCAAGTAAAGGGCCCTTTCAACAAACTCTTAAGCAGGTGTTTGGCAGGGAAGTTAGGATGTGGCTTGGAATACACTTGGGAAACAGATGCCTGGGTTTGAGGCTCATCTTTCTGTTACTTGTGCACATACAAGGAGGCAGCAGGGAATGGACCAAGGGGCTGACACCACATTTCCCATGTAGGAGATCCTGATGGAATTCCTGAATCTGGGTTTTAGTCTGGCCTAGCTTCAACTGTTGCAGAAAGTTGGAGACTGAACCAATGACATTCTTCATGGTACTAGAAGGAACAATTCTAAATTAATATGGAAGCACAAAAATCCCTGAACAGCCAATAGTTTCATGAACAAAAAGTACAAATCCAGAGGCATCATAATACCAAATTTTAAGACATAGCACAGTGTTATTGTGACTGATACTGCATAGTTCTGGCATAAAAGCATTCAGGAAACTAATGGAACAGAATATTAATCTTAGAAATTGGACCTTACATCTACAGCTAACTGATCATTGACAAAGATGCCAAAGTAGACTCTGGAGAAAGGAGACATCTTCACCAAATGGAACTAGGAGAGCTGGCTATTCATCTGTAGAAGATTCCAGCTTGACTTTACCACCACCTCCCTCCTGCTGCCTGCCTCTCACCCTATACATTTGAAATGGGCCAGAAAAGAGCTGACACAACAATAATACTACAAGGAAATATTGGGAAATTACTTTAGAACATTGCTGTAGGCCACATTTATTGGATAAGATCCCACAAATCACAGCCAATGGAAACCAAAGCAGACAACTGGGGCTATATCAAACTAGGAGGTTTCTGCATGGCAAAGGAAGCAGTGAACAGAGTCAAGAGACATCTGACAGAAGAGAAGAAAGTATTTCCCAACTCTGCATTTGATCCCAATTTTACAAGGAATTCAAAAACACTGACAGAAAATGACATCAAATATCTCCGTTAATTAATTAAATGAACTAGAGTCTGAATAGGGGATGTCTCATTAGAGAAATGGCCACCAAATATATGAGAAAAAATGCTCAGAATCACCAAACCACCAGGGAAATGGAAACCAAAATCACACTGCGATATCCTCATCAGAATGGCTGTTACAAAAAAGGCAAAAAACAACAAATACTGGTGACAATGTGGAGAAAAGGGAAACCTCAGACACTGTTGATGAAAAGCACGTACAATATAATATACCCAGCTAACCATTTGCTGGTGTTTTCTGAAGGAAGAAAAGTCAGCGCATGGAAGCGCTGCATTCTCATGTTCATGGCAGCATTATTGACAATACCAAGATAGGGGCTCAACCAGATGCCCATCTATGCATGAACGGATAAAAAATTAGGTGGAGTAAACACAACGAAGTATTATTCAACCATATAAAAATAATATCCTGGCATTTTCAGCAAAATGGCTAATACTAGAGATCTTTATACTAAATGAAATAAGCTGGACACTGTGAGACAGTGAATGTTCTCTTTCACGTGTGAAAGTTGAGATCGGTAGTTCGGCCTAGTGGTCAAAATACTTATGGTGATGTCCACGTCTCGTGCTGAAATGCCCTGATTTGATGCTTGGCTCTAACTCCCAAATCCAGCTTCCTGCCAG